GGGGAGGAAGAACCAGCACCATACCTACAGGCTGGGGAACTCCCTTCTCGTCAGTACAGAGGCAGAAAAAGATCTTGGAGTTGTCATTGATGCCAAGATGAACATGGGCAGGCAGTGTGGGGATGCAGTCAGGAAGGCCAACTGCACCTTGTCATGCATCCACAGATGCATCTCAAGCAGGTCCAAGGAGGTGATACTCCCCCTGTATGCGGCACTGGTCAGGCCGCAGCTGGAGTACTGTGTCCAGTTCTGGGCGCTGCACTTTAAGAGGGATGTGGACAACATGGAGAGGGTCCAGAGGAGGGCCACTCACATGATCAGGGGACAGCAGGGCAGGCCCTACGAGGAGAGGCTATGGGACCTGAACCTGTTCAGCCTCCACAAGAGAAGGCTGAGGGGGGATCTAGTGGCCTGTTACAGACTGGTCAGAGGGGACTAGCAGGCATTGCGGGAGTCCCGGTTCCCCCCGAGGGCCACCAGGAATGACTAGAAATAATAGTCACAAGCTGGCAGAGGGTAAATTCAGATTAGACATCAGGAGGCGCTACTTCACTGTCAGGGCGGCTAGAATCTGGAACCAACTTCCAAGAGAAGTGGGGCTGGCTCCTACCCTGGGGGTCTTTAAGACGAGGCTTGGCAATCGCCTTGCTGGGGTCGTTTAACTCCAGTACTCTTTCCTGCCATGGCAGGAGGTCGGACTTGATGATCTGCTCAGGTCCCTTCTGACCCTACTAACTATGAAACTATTAATTACTGTGGTATTTAAACACAAAAATTTCAAGCAAACTTGGTTTAATTTGCATCAATAAATGAAAGTTGAAAGGCCCCCTGTGATTCTCAGCCAGGGTTCTGGGGCATCTTGGAGTGCCTTGAGATCCTTTCAGGGGTGCTACAGGGTGTCACACAATATTAACACTGTTAGGTATGCAAAATGATTCACAAGAATAACCTAGAGATAGCAAGTAGGGAATCCACGGTGATAAAATAATTCTTACCTGTTGTCTTTCTGAGTTCTTTGCAATAGAAGAAGAATTCTATTATTTTTCTTTAGTCAAAAATCAAACGAAAATGAAGGGCTGACATTTTCTAAGTGGTACCTTGAGGCTCAAAAGGTTGAGAAGCACTTTACTAGTCTTGTAAACTCTCTGGTCAGAGTTTTTAAGAAATATGGGAGAAAGTAAGCTTTGTTACTAGTCTTTTCCAAACCCTTTCCTGATGTTACCAGGAAGTGTGTGTGAATTTTGAAATGGAGAAAGGAGAAAAACACTATGGAGAGTGGAAGAGAAGTGTGTCTTGTATCTTAACTTTAAACTGGTTTTGCATGCTATATAGAGATTATATCTCCCTGACATGGTGATCTCCTTTCTGTCAAAAGGCAGAATAAAGGAATTTACTTGGTGGTTTTGTCAAGTGTAATTTTCTTGAAAATCTTCAGTAGAAGATAGTATACCATCAACTAATTTACAGAAGTCCAAGGCCCAGTCTAGGAGAATGAATTCAAAGTGTTATATAATAATTTGTATGCATATGATGGTAATTCTTGGACAATTAATGTTCAATTCTTTCTGGAAAATCTTAAATTAAGATACCTCAGGTAGAACAACAGAGTTGTACTGCCTGGTCTTTATTTGGAATATATGAAACAGTATTACTTTTTGGTTTGAATTATTTCTTTATATACTGATGTTCTTCCATTTTTTTTGTTTTTGGTTTTTGGTTTTGTTTTTATTTTTTAGAACTGGTTAGACTCATCAAAGGAAATTAAGAGGCAAATTCGCAGTAAGTACTTTTGTACTTAGATGTTAAATATTTAAACTCAGTGTTTTATTTACAGAAATATGTTTTTCTAAAGTCACCTTGAATCTTTTTAAATTGAATATTGTTTAATTTGTTTGTTTGATTTCTTTGCATGCCACTTAACATACAGACAATCCTCTACATACAGTTAAGAAAATAAAATAATGCATGACTGTTTACACTATTGATGCCCAGATGGTCCAATACATTTTTGGGGGTTTTTTATGGACAGGAAGAATTGGGTATACTTCCCCTGCATTAAAACACTGTTTATTGTAGCCTATCGTTTACAGCATTGATACAGTTGATGCCAGTGTGTGTGTCTCTTTTCAATGTGTAAACCCAGTGATAGAGAACTGCACTAGCAGAATTTAAATTTCTTGTCTTCTAGGTCAGGGATAGGTGACCTCTGGCGCACGTGCCAATTAGTGGCACCCAGAGACATTTTCCTTGGTATGCCAGGAGGTGTGCCAAGGAAAGTGTTTAAATTTTTTTTTTTAAAGTTGCTGCTCTGGGCTCTCTGCGTAGTAGTGACAGCTCCCAGTGCCACAGCAGGCACCGGGGGCAGGGGCAGGGGAACACAGGCCAGGATGCAGGCAGGGACCCATTTCTGTGATGGTATGTGGGAGAACCTGCAAAATCAAAGGAACTGCCATGCACCCCACTCCCACTGACTTTTGCAGGTTCCCCTGTGCCCCCTCTCTACCACTTGCCTCCTAATCAGCAGGTAGGCGAAAACCGTGCTTTTAAATATGGTGCGATTTTTGCCTCCCAGCTGGACAGCAGCAGACAGCAGGGCTGCCAGGGCCCCTTGGCCAATAAGCAGCTAATGGCAAAAACAGCACCTTATTTAAAACTGTGGGTTTTGCCTCCCCGTGGATCAGGAGTGAGCGGTAAGCAACAGGCCTTCTCCACCAATCAGTGGTGGGGGGTTGCACAGGGGAACCTGCAAAGAATAAAGGAGCCTCTGCACAGCCCACTCCCTCCATTAATTTGGTAGGTACCTAATCAGGGGTGACATGAAGGGGAGGGCATTGGGGGGCTATAGCCACCCCAAAATTTGCCTTAGCCCCCTGTAGCCACCCCTCTAAGTGCTACTTCTCGCCACCTGGGCTGCTGCCACTTGCCCCACATAGTTGAGCCTGCCTGGCTCCCACCCGCAGCGCAGCCCCACAAGGAAGAAGCTGTTGCCACCCCTGTTCCTAATCATGGTCTACTCATGGGGGTAGGGGGCACACCCTGCCCCCCCGCCCCTGATTTCTGCTGCTGTCAGGAGTCCAAGCAGCTTGCATTGTGCTGCTGGCCAGGTCTGGAGCTTGGGCCACGAGAAGCGGCCTGAGCCCATGCCTGCCCCAGTGCCACCTCTGTCCCCATCCACCTGCCTGTGTTGTTGCGGGGGTGGGGGGGA